ATGCAACATCCTTCCTTCCTTCCCGCTAACAAAACCAAACTATATTTAAACCAAAACATCTTAAAATCAAAATTGACGGACTTACGTTTTCTCTTCGGCAGACTTTTAAGACTTCTTTGCAACAATTTCCTGCCTAAGTCAAGCTTTCCCTGCTTCATGTAAAACAGACTGAAGCCGACCCACACCTTTTTACTTTGACTGAACCGCTTTGCCATCGTATGGTATAACTGCTCGGCCAACTGAAAGAAGGAGTCATTGGGACTGTTAATAAAAATGCGACACTGAGATCCAACCGTGTTTAGTGCTACTATGAAATGTATTTTTAACGATTACTGCTTGCTAAAAACTGCAGTTGTTTTGTTGCTGTTGTTTTTATCATTCATTATTATGACCATATACTGTTCTCGCATCTCTTTCCAACTCTCACCTCAGTTTTATCCGTTCTTGAGTAGATACCAGTAAGTTGAAAGAACACTTTCTTAGGCTCATTTTGTTGTAGGGCTCGCTCAAACACCCTTACTAAGGACTCCTGCGTGCCGTAGAGGTTTTCTAAGTTCATTAGGGCCACCCAAACGTTAAGCTTCTCTTGCTCTTCCCTAAAAGTGAAACAGACGAAAGCGAAATTTAGACTGACCCACAAGTCCTTTAGCCTTGGGCCATTTTTGCGCCGTACAAAATTACGCTCAGTTCCTTGTAGACTACAAAAATATTAGTCAGGTAAGATAGTGGAACACAAAAAGGCAAAACACACCAGGAGGGTACAGAGATAGCTGAGGATGCAGAAGATAAACAGGATTAAAGACAAGATAACATTCTCCAGCTGATACCTTAGTTTATTCTTACTTATGATGCACGATCCTCGCAGTAGAGAGCGCTATTTATGCAATAGCGAAAATCAGACCTGAAAAAAAAAACCAGGCCTGTACGGGATTCGAACCACTGAACTCTGCGATACTAGTGCAGCGCTCTACCAATTGAGCTAACAAGCCAACTGGGAGCAGGCCGTTAAGTTGATTCGTAATAAACCCGTGATGATAAATCAGATACTAACAAGCCAATTGAGCTAACAAGGCTTGTTAGCTCAATTGGTAGAGCGCTGCACTAGTATCGCAGAGGTCAGTGGTTCGAATCCCGTACAGGCCTGGTTTTCTTCAGGTCTGATTTTCGCTATTGCATAAATAGCGCTCTCTACTGCGAGGATCGTGCATCATACGTATCTAATACCGCAGTTCAAAATATATGAACTTCATATATTCATTGTATTAGTTTATTCTGCTAGAGTTTTTAATAAAATAACTACTGAAATGACAAAGCCGCACGCTTGTAGTATATTGTTACGTACGAAGTGGCCTCAACTATAAGCCTGGTGGTTTCTAGACCTCACTGAACTATAGATAAATTGTTAATAAAATAGGGGAAAAAAGGCAAATAAAGATTGATGATGATGATGATGTGGTGATGATTCTCATCACCTTTTAGCAGGATAGTCTACCGATATCGTGAAAACAATTTACATGTTAATCTCTTCCGGGAATCAAATGGGTACGTGTCTGTACCGAACGTAAGAAAGAGAGAGATTTACAGCTTCTAGTGACTAAAAAGCCACACATTCATTTTTTTGCTTACATTATGCAGTGCTGTATGGTATAGATGTATTACCTGAATGATATAGTTTTCAGTGCTCTTTCGGCCACCGTTCGTGCCTTGTCGATGTCTGTGGTATGAAGGTGATACGCCATGTACTGCAGCCACACTACTGAGTTATTGGGTGATGATAAAACGGCGCGATCGAAGTCCTCGGCAGTCTCTGGCAAGCGATCCTGATCTAAAAGCGATTGTTCTGTCTGCCGAAAATTAGAGAAAGAGTGAGAGATTTTATAAGATATACTGCATAGGAAAGTGTAATTTAGATTGAGTGAAAAATAACCGCCCCACAGTCAGATTGCTCCCGCTTAGATCGTTCAAACGAAAGTCAGATCACTCTATAAAAATGTTAACAAGACACAGACAGCTGGATTTAGAGGTCACTTTTGTTTGGAGCGAACTAACTTCTCTTTAGAGCGATCTAAACTTTTCGATGGAGCAATCTGACTTTCGTAAAAATGATTTAACAATGGACGATCAAACTATAGGGCGAAAGTAACCGTATACTAAAACCAAAGTTACCATCACAACTTGCACCCAACGAAAAGTTCAACACGACAACGACGTCATAAGGGGTCAACGTAAAGGTTCACATGTGCACGACCACTCGAAAACTAATCCAGCTCATCTACATTACAAATGCATATACTAGCGAAGACCAACAAGTCTGAAGATCATTATGCCCTGGTCAATTCATTTTAGTTCTGAGCTTGACTTGAGACCTCTCAAACCCCGTATCAAGTGTAAGTCTCCCTGATGGACTCGACAATCCATAAGAACTATTTCATAAAGCTAAGTGAAGACTGAGGTGGCCTTCGATTTCAGAGTTTAGCCTGTACTGGTGAGTACTTGGAAATGAAACTTTGCTCTACTCACAGCCTTCTTACATTCCATTACAAAAAGGACTCATTCGCAATTTGCTAGAGAAACAGGATTACCTTGTATAAAAACTCCTCTTCGGCTTTCTTTGCTGCTCTCTTCTGTCTTTTACTCTTCTTACGAGCAACCTGTAGGCGCGAAAATATCGAAAACATTACCTCACTGATGAGATAAGTCTGATCACAGGCGAAATTATGTGCTGTTCGTGAACTTTTGACCATAAGCTTTTCCAGTCACAAACGATACAGATATGCAACGAATGAACTGTCCAGAAGAGGAATTTATTTCACCTTACTTACGCTCGATGTACCCCTACTTGAATTGTGAAAATAAAACCCTCTTACACTAAAGCCATTTTTGTCCCACGTTAGAGTGATTGTAATCGTTGTGCACTCCAGACCGTTTCGAGGTTGGAGCACTTTGAATGCCCTTTCAGTAGGTAATACAGGGAACAGTCATAGGACGACAATAACCATACACAGCTTCCCTCTACATAGTATGACAGTCAAGATAGGTCACTTACAACCACATTTTATGATACTCTGTCGTGTACACGTTCCGTCTATGCGCAATTATGTAGGACTTAGAGTTATTGTACAAACAGTAAAACGAGGATTGTGTGTGAGTCATAATCCCGATACTGGTAAAGTGAGATTACTAGCTAAGGCAAAAGAGAAGAGGGCATCTGATGAAACAACCATTAGAACTAAACTATATTTTAGCTATCGTTAGCATCACTGTCTTAGCAGACAAATAAACTGGGTGTGGAAATCACAATTTTTCATGAAGTTGACGCATAAAAGTACGCTTCGTGATGCGAAAAAAACACAGTGGAAGAATCTGGCTTACTTGGGTCAATAACTAACCAAAACCTCTATATCTTGAAGATAATTGTAGCATTATAATGAATGACCTTCACTCCACACACCTGTCCACTGGCTTCAGTTTCACTCTCACTGCTTTCATCGTCATCGTCATTGTCATTATTCTCATGTTGTCTCTTTTGTGTCCTTCCTCCATAATTCCCGTCCTCGTTCCAGTCAAATCCACTCGAAATCTGCAATAGGAACAAATATTTCAATAAAAAAAACACCCAATCTGCGACTAGGATGGGTTGCAGAGCAGTTAAGGAATATCACAGATACAAATTTAAGGAGAGATAAAGAAAAACGAATACCTCCAATCTAGGTGCTCCATTTGGTTTGTGGGAACTTGCATCGTCAGCCTTAAATATCAAAATAAAGGGAAACGTTTTGATTATGAAATATCGTTCCAAAAAGAATACAGTAAACCCAAAGGTCAAACGTTGGGCATGCGCAAAGACATCAAATCTGGCCGGCCACGTGCCAATTTCCCGCGCAAATTTTTTAATAAAAACATAGGAGACAAACGCTGTCTCGCAAAATAAGCGAAAGAAAATTGAAACGTTCGGAGAAACCTGTGAAAGTAAACAAAAGCTGGGAAAAGGAAAACTCCAGACTTTTCGAACTCCAAGCTTATTCAAGTACGGGTAAACTACCGATTTAGCATTCTGTTTTGAGCTTTACCAAATGTTAAGTGTTAAATGCTTTTAACACACTGTGCGTTACTGGCTCGTGTGGTTGTTTGTAACTCGTGTGGAAACACTCCACTTAGTTATCCCAACCTTCATGCATGCACAGACGTTACCCCTAAATTCATGTAAAAAGCCACCTAAAGCCTGTGGTGACTGAACAGAAGATGAGAAACTCTGCTTCAACTGCGTCAAAGCTTATAACCCGTTAACTGTCTAACCTCTTCATCTGAAGTGTTTCCAGATGTCTCGCCTTCTTCTTCGCTCTCACTTTCAGGGCTGTCCTCGTGATCGGAATCTGTGAGATGCGAATCATATAGTAATAACGCGCATTTCGATCGCCGGAGTGGAGTAACATCAAAACCGTTGATGTTCCCCTCATAATAGGCTCTCCTCTCTAATAAGGGGTTCTTTTCTCTGACAAGAAGCCCTTGCCTCTAAAAAATGGCCCTTGTCTTTACTTATAGACCCAACTCTCTAGTATGCCATTCGTCTGGAGGCCAGACGTCCTCTACAAAAACATCTTGGGATTCATAAGAGTGTTTGTGCTATGTATCATAACAGTCCCTCACTAAATGACTCGGATTTGACATTACCCGCCTTTTTTTACCTTCTTTGAGTTTCTTTAATACAAATTCTGCTTCATCATCTGATCCGTCCTTTGTTTTACTCTCCTTCTCCTTCTTTCTCTTCCTTTTCCGTTCTTTCTTTTCTTTGTCTCGTTTCTCTTTTTCATCCAAACGCTTTGGTTTTGGAGCTGGATCGGGTCCACCGACATCTGTCCCTTTTAAGGACAACTCCAGGTGTCCTTTAATCGGGTCAACACTAAGAGTAAATCATAGTTTATATTAAAATCAGTTTTTCATCCTCACGCAAACAAAAACCTTATTTTCTCAACAAACGTTTTGCATTCAGCTTCGGAAATGCTTTTCTTTTTTAATACATATGTTAGTTTCTTAATTGATACTATCCCACCATGCACTGCAAAGTAAACACTTTGTAAGAGGCTTACGATTCGGAGACGCACTCTGTTCAAGATGCATCCCTTATTCAACAGTTTAACCATTACGTTTGACTTGCATTGAATTTTTCCTTCTAGCCCCTTCACACCCTAACATCAGTATGCATATTCTCCATACTGTTCTCTATACATATCCTAAAGTGCTGACAAGGAGAATTTGTTAAGCAAACAAGAGCCTCTTTGGTTATTGATTATTTCCTTTATTTTCCTGACCTTGATGTTTAACTCAGGGTGATGTTGTAAGGAGAAATTAGATGCTACGGTTTAGTAACATCACTGAATCAGAAACTAAGTTCACGAGAATAAAGGAAATGATAGCTATCTCAGTTACGAAGCTCTTGACTGTTAAACAAATTCTCATCGTCAGTGCCAAAGGAAACGTAAAGAGAACAGTGTGGAGAAAATGGATATTGATGAGATGGTGTAAAGGGTTAAACTCAGGACCCCAAAAGTCATACCTTGCTTGGCGACCCGAACCTCTTGAGGCAAATTAAGCGATAGCCGCCCTCAAATGGTTTTACAGCGTGAAACTGTATCACCACACGTCCCTAACTTTGAAACCAATTACCTTAAAACTTTCCCTTTGACCAACTTTCCTTTAGGGAACAGAGGTTTCCAGTTCTTCACATAATATTGGGATAAATTCTTTATTTGTACCCTGCCAACAATGTGATGGGCCAGACTGCAAGAGAAATTGAATGACCGGTTACGCTCTCCTTCTCAGAATTCTCTCTTGATTGATTGTTAAGCTAGTATCTCGCGCACTATTAGAATTCTCTCTTGATCGATCGCTACGCTAGTATCTCGCGTACTTTTAGGATTCTCTTTCGATCCATTATTACGCTAGTATCTCGCGCACTATCAGAGTTCTCTCTTGATCGATTGGTACGCTAGTATCTCGCGCACTATTAGAATTCTCTTTTGATCGATTGTTATGCTAGTATCTCGCTCACTATCAGAATTCTCTTTTGATCGATTGTTACTGTCGCGGAATTTTGTTCCGCTCGCTGGTTTAACTGAGGACTGTATCTATCACACTTTCTACGTTCTATTTTAACACGGAGTTTATTCTTCTACCTCTCAAGGGTTCTACTATCGATCTGATTACAGTGTACGTGTACTTCGGTTTTTTGCTGTCTAACACAATACAGTACTATAATCTATCACATGCACAGCTTACAGTAATATAACTATCGTACGATATATCAAGCCTAATTCACATGATCCCTTCCTTATTTGGTTCAATTAGCGCATGCAAAGTACATCCGCTGATAAACTGTGCACTAAGTTCAATTTACTGAGAATTGATGCAATCTATCACGTAATCATTTAACTAATTCCTGTTACAATTAATATTTGACTTATTCTTAATGAGCAACTAACTTATTCCCCGACAGTTACGCTAGTATCTCGCTCACTATCAGAATTCTCTCTTGATCGATTGTTACGCTAGTATCTCGCTCACTATCAGATTTCTCTCTTGATCGATTGTTACGCTAGAATCTCACGTACTATTAAAATACTCTCTTGATCAATTGTTACGTTAGTATCTCGCACACTATTAGAATTCTCTATTGATGGATCGTTACGCTAGTATCTCGCACACTATTACAATTCTCTATTGATGGATCGTTACGCTAGTATCTCGCGCGCTATCAGAATTCTCTCTTGATAGATTGTTACGCTAGAATCTCGCGTACTATTAAAATACTCTCTTGGTCAATTGTTACGTTAGTATCTCGCGCGCTATCAGAAGTCTCTCTTGATAGATTGTTACGCTAGAATCTCGCGTACTATTAAAATACTCTCTTGATCAATTGTTACGTTAGTATCTCGCTCACTATCAGAATTCTCTCTTCATCAATTGTTACGCTAGAATCCCGCGTACTATTAGAATTCTCTCTTGATCAATTGTTACGTTAGTATCTCACGCACTATTAGAATTCTCTTTTGATCGATTGTTACGCTAGTATCTCACGCACTATCAGAATTCTCTCTTGATCGATTGTTACGCTAGTATCTCGCGCACTATCAGAATTCTCTCTTGATCGATTGTTACGCTAGTATCTCACGCACTATCAGAATTCTCTCTTGATCGATTGTTACGCTTGTATCTCGCGCACTATTAGAATTCTCTCTTGATCGATTGTTACGCTAGTATCTCGCTCACTATCAGAATTCTCTCTTGATCGATTGTTACGCTAGTATCTCACGCACTATCAGACTTCTCTCTTGATCGATTGTTACGCTAGTATCTCGCGCACTATCAGAATTCTCTCTTGATCGATTGTTACGCTAGTATCTCGCGCACTATCAGAATTCTCTCTTGATCGATTGTTACGTTAGTATCTCGCTCACTATCAGAATTCTCTTTTGATCGATTGTTACGCTAGTATCTCGCGCACTATTAGAATTCTGTTTTGATCGATTGTTACGCTAGTATCTCGCGCACTATCAGAATTATCTCTTGATCGATTGTTACGTTAGTATCTCGCTCACTATCAGAATTCTCTCTTGATCGATTGTTACGCTAGTATCTCGCTCACTATCAGAATTCTCTTTTGATCGATTGTTACGCTAGTATCTCGCGCACTATCAGAATTCTCTCTTGATCGATTGTTACGCTAGTATCTCGCGCACTATCAGAATTCTCTCTTGATCGATTGTTACGCTTGTATCTCGCGCACTATCAGAATTCTGTCTTGATCGATTGTTACGCTTGTATCTCGCGCACTATTAGAATTCTCTCTTGATCGATTGTTACGCTAGTATCTCGCGCACTATCAGAATTCTCTCTTGATCGATTGTTACGCTTGTATTTCGCGCACTATTAGAATTCTCTACTGATGGATTGTTACGCTAGTATCTCGCGTGTTATTAAAATTCTTTCGAGATCGATTGTTACGCTAGTATCTTGGGCACCATTAGAATTCTCTATTGATCGATTTTACGCTAGTATCTCGCGCACTATTAAAATTCTCTCTTGCGTTTTGACCGAGTTAGGTCGGGCCAGACGGGGAAACTAGTTGGCTCTCGCTCATGCCGCACGGACCGTGCGGCCCTCCCACTCAGTCAATAAATACATAATATCGATCCCGGTTTAGAAAGTGACATTAGTATCTTGCGTAGTTAGAATTCTCTTCTGATCGATTGTTTCGCTAGTATCTCGCACACTGAAAGGATTCTCCTTTGATGGATTGTTTGGTTAGTAAGAGATACTTTCGTACGTATCTCGTGCACTATTAGAATTCTCTTCTGATCGACTGTTCAGTTAGTAGCGAGCGCACTGTTTTCATTCCCTATTGATCGATTGTTTCGTTTGTATCTCGCACACTATAGACCACTTTCATAAATGGCTGCCGTATAAATATTCTTTTGTTTAAATTTAAGTTAGCCCTTCTGGCCTCGCTTGAGATAATGATTTTCTTTTGAAATTTGTACTGGAGAACAAGGCCAGTAGGGCTAATTTAAATTTAAACAAAAGAATATTAATCTGGCTGCCATTTATGAAAGTGGAATTCGTTTTTTAATCGATTATTAATTTCATACACTTTTAGAATTAGTATCTCGCACGCTGCAAAGATTCTCTTTTGCATTCGGTCCGCACGTCACGACCTTGCGCCCAATATTTCCTCGTTCGGCCCTTCCACTCAGCCAATCAGTGGATGATATGTTACCTGACAAAGACACCAACATCAGAACAACTCTTGACAAAGCCCCGGATGATGTCCCCTTCCTTAAGGTCACTTATGCTTTTGATCTCGCGATCCTCCTCGTTAACACTTGTAACTGTTAAGAGAACCCGAAAAAACAAATCAGATGAAATAAGCCGTATATTACAGTCTTGTTTACCAACGAACGATAATTTCGGACATAGCAATTCAGAACTAAAAATAAAGCTCTGGAAATACCTTTGATAATGTATCATTGAAATTCCTCCGACAAATAACGAAAATAAAAGTAAACAAACAGAAAGAATGCAGTTACCTCCCTCGTTTTTTGTTGCCACTGCTTGTGTCCTAACACCGGATAAGATAAGAAAAAATAACACAAATATTTAGTTAAGAGGTCCAGTCGACCCAACTGTTTTAACTCTTTTACTTCCGGGGTAACCAATAAGTGAGTTTTCCCTACAATATCAATACACTAATGAGTAGAAATGTTAGGAGAAGAAAGGGAAAATATCCACCAAGGGAATTCGTTTGATTGAAAACCAGATTCATAGAGTTGAAGTTGTACGGAGTTATATATATGAGTTGTTTCTCGAGACCAGTTTCCAGTTATCAGGGTGAATCAAGCTCTCCTCCTTCAAGGACCTTTTTCAGTTGTACTGCTGGATTCCAAACCATTTCATTAGACCGCAGTCGCCACTATACAACACCAAAATGTAGCCCTTGGATAATGACTATATCTAATCAGAGAAACAAATCGGTAGAATATCTTTACTTGTGACAAGAGGCGTCTTTGTTCTCACCTTGAAGGTCTGAGTGACAGATCAAATTGGTCTTTGCCTTTCGTTGACAGGACAAAACACCTATATATTGAGGCAAGTCTTGATCAGAGATGAAAACCTAATAGCCCATTTCCGAATTACCCTTGGCCTCATTTTCAAACGAGTCCTGGTGCTCATCCTTTCATATGATAAGTTTTCATTCACATGCAAATTAAACTCGTTTCCACAAGAATGGTTGAGCACCAGGCCTCGTCTTGAAAAAGAGGCCAAGAGTAATTCGGAAATGGCCTTTTTAACTGCACTACAAATGGAGTCTCTTCCTGGACGTCTCCATCCTAGTTCCCTCTCCCCACCCCCCACTGAGAACAATGCCTGTCCACTTACATATAACTTGTTAACTAAAAACCTCATTGCAGTTGCTGGTATGCGGTGAGGAGGAAGGGAGGGGGAG